CAAATCGCAAGCGTTAGGCCTTGCCAATATCGAACCTGAAGGGTACACTGAGCATAGTGTTCACGGAGCCCTTCACGCAACTCGTAGAGGAACGAAAACCTCAAGCCTTTCACCTTAAATCAGTCCCAACAGTACGTAGCCACAGTGAAAACCCTAAAAAACTTAAACCCTGGCAGTAACCTCTAGAATATATGCATGTGGCCGTCACCTAGGCGAACATCTGAAAGAGTTGTCCGAGTACGCCCCCTCCGAAGCCGTCTGAGGCAAGTTCCTGGGGTGTCTATAAAGGGTTTTATGTTTTTGGAAGGTTTGATACGGGTTCATAGGGCTTTCGATGGTTTTATTGTGCGCTCATGAGATTTTGTACGGTTTCAAAGAGGTTTAGTTTAGACTCAGGTTTTCCCTACACCCTAAACCCCCCGAGTTTAGGGGGTTGTGGTGCAGCACGCCTACTGCTGCCATGAGCCAAACGTAGGTGCTCGAGGTGTCAACGCTTTTCTGCATCATCTTTTAAACTCGAGCTCCATGTAGTTTATACTGGGTTCCTGTGTATTTCCCTTTTGAAGTCTTTCTGTTTGGGCTCCGTTAATAAACAATATGGTCGAAAAAGGTAGCCCTTAGAATGAAGGGACTACTAGGAACATAGTATAGTGTCCATTGTATACCTTAACCTACCAAACCCTACTTTTTTGTAGGTTCTTATTATGAACCCTAATATGGAGTTTATAGGGACCCTACAAAAAAGTAGGGTTTGGTAGGTTAAGGTAGTTGATGATACATGTTGTCCGTAGCATTAGGTCAAAGTAGGGACTCCCGACCAGGATGGTGATCGCTAATAGCTCTGATAGGCTTTGCATGGCTTTACCAAGTCGGCTGCAACCTAGGACACTGATGAGCCGCCATAAACCACCAACAACAATCTTCCAAGGGTCGAGGGTATAGGGTTAAGGGTTAGGAGATTGGGGTTTAGGGCTTAAAGTTTAGGGTTAAGGCCATAGGGCTTCGGGTTTAGTTCGGTTTTAGAGCCCTAGTCCCCTATCCCCGCAACTCTAAACCATGAACCCGAAACGCTAAACCCTAAACGGCCCTAAACCCCCAAACCCTAAAACCCTGAACCCCTGAAACCCTCAAGCACCCCTCAACTGTCCAGGCTCTTGCATCTGGCTCCCTGTGGCGACGGTCTGCGTCTAAAGGCGTTTCAGACCTTGAAGAAGAGGTGGCAGCAGCAACCAGCAGCGGTAGCTAGTGGCAGTAGCACTGATCGCATTTGCGGTAGCAGTTCGGAGTAGGAGTAGTAGTCTAGGACTACAGTTTCAAGAATTAGGCTACTGTAGGGGCCTTAATTGCCCCGTTCTAGTTATGAAGGCCCCTATACTATAGAACCCTACTATAACTCCCTTATAGTAACCCTTATAGACCCCTCGAAAGGAACCTATTCTAATCATTAAGGTCTCTACCATAGACGAACCCAGCGCCACCGAAGTGAGCTTTGGAGACATTTGGGGATTGGGTCGTAGAGGAGCCGCTTTACCCCAACGCCATGGATTCTATGTTAGGCTTTAGTTAGGGTTTAGGGGTTTAGGTTTCAGGGTGTAGTGTGGTTCAGGACTTGCAATGAAGGAGCTGAACAGCGTAGAACCGCCAACGGCACACCTCGTCTTACCAAGCTTTGCCTGCTGCGTCGCAGCAGGCATCTGTACAGAAGCTTGGAGATCTTTTTCCCTTGCGGCTTAAACCCTGCATCTTAGGGGTACTTGTAGATATTTATTTCAGTTTTTTGGTTTCTTTAACCTCTAAGCAATAGCTAAAAACTAGATTTTTTGCTAGGGGATGGGCATGCGAAGCCAGCAGCCCTCTAGAATTAGAAGGCTCGAGGGTTCAGAGACCCAGTCAGTCTGCCCCAAACCCGAAGATTTTAGGGTTTAGGGTTTAGGGTTTAGGGTTTAGGGTTTAGGGGTCAAAGCTCTATATGACTCCGTAGCAACGGGACTTACGACCTGAATCACTTAGTGTCTCCCACAAAAAGGCCTGACAGCCTAGTTCTTAGCGCTTAGTGACTTAGCGTGTCAGGGCGTGCTCGTGCAGCCGAAATTTTTAATTGCCATAAACCCTAGTTGGAGGGGCAGGGGACTTAGTAAGGGCTCTTAAAGGGCTCCTTAAAGGGATCTATAGGATTCCTTAAAGGGATCTATGGCAATCTATGGGGTTTAGGGTTTAGGGTCCTCTTGAAGGGGCAGGGGACTAAGTAAGTAGGTTATAAGTAGGGTTATAATCAGGGTAAGTCCATTTAGGGTACTTATAACCTACTTACTAAGTCCCCCGCCCCTCCAAGTAAACCTCAAACCTTGACCCGTTCCTTTTCTAATCAATCTCCCTGGCGGTCCAATTTCACTGGCAAGCCACGAAAACTTCGAGTCACAGCACCCGTGCCTGTTAGCCATAAGGGCCATAAGCCTCGGCACAGGCTCTATGTTTTTCGACGGAAATTTGCAGAGTTTTTATAACGGGTGGATAAGGGTAGAGGTTCAGACGGTTTCAGAGACTTTCAATAGGCAGACCTTTTAGAAAACGTATAGGTGGTTGTAACCTTTTCCTCCTTCTGGACCATAAGAAGGATCCCAACATCCAGGGCCTTGCAACGACAAGGGCGGGTCTTTAAGCAGGTGCCGACATGAAGGCTTATCTCAAACTTTAAATCTACACTAATGTATACGATACTCCGTTCGTGACATCACTGGCTCGTTGTAATGCATCTTGGACTCTGTTGGAGTTTGCAGGGGTTGTCGATACTTTCCGGTTCAGTTTCTACTAAACCATCAAGCCAAACCTCAAACCATAAAGTCCGAACCTAACCCTAAACCCTGTTGGGGCCTAAGCCCAAATCCTGAAGCCTAACCTCCGCCATCTGACTGCCTCTAGACCAGTCCGACAGTCAAACCGGGCCAGAATGAACGCCCCAGGCTCGAAATCGCAGTAGACGACACTCTCAACAAAGCTGTTGCTCGAAGGGCATTGGGGTTTAAGCTGCGAAGCAAGCACTGAGACTAAGACAGGATGCAGGATAAGAAATCTTGCGCCTTCTCAGATTCCTGCAAATGATGTCACATTCGGTACAAACCCGTTGTGCTTGGCCTTGCTCTCCTAGTACGTATGCTTTTGTATGGTTTGCCGTGCGGGACCATGCCAGTGAGGTTGCTTTCGTCTTTCTGGGTATTCAAGGGTTTTGGGGGTTCCTGATTAGAATTATAGTATCGTATATCCCCTAACCCTTTTTTCTGGTCATTAAAGCCCCTATTTTATAGCGTTCGACATCATCGCTTGATTCTGGATGTCTCGTATTGTGCGATGTTGCAGTTCGCAGAATGCTAGGCTGCGTTAGTCGTTGCTAGTCCGACGTGTCGGTCGATAGCAGCAGGTAACCCCAAACCCTAAACCCCAACGCTCATATAAACCCGAACCCTAAACCCGGTATAGAGTCGTGAGAGACGCAGCCTGCCCAACAAGTGCTCTAGAGCTCTCGCGACCGAAAAAGGCCATGAAAATAAATCACTGAACAAATGAGCTCCTGCGACCCCTAAACCCTAAACCCCAAACCCTAAACCCTAAACCCCAAACCCTAAACCCCAAACCCTAAACCCTAAACCCACTGTATAGTGTAGTCATGTTGTGGAGCTCAGGGCCGGCGAGATTAAGTGATAAACACCTCCGCGCGGAACACAAAAAAGCCAACGCCCCGCGGGCTTAGTTCTTGGGGTTTGGGGTTTTGGGGTTTAGTGTTTCTGGGGTGCAGGGTTTGCGGGTTTTTGGTGTTCGGGGTTAAGGATTTTTGGGGTTTATTGGTTAAGGTTCAGGGCTTTGCATGCCTGCTTCGGGTTTTACATGTTTAGCAAATTTGACTTTCGCCATGTTGAACTCCTACAACAGCAGCAATGGCTGCAGCAGCAACTGCCAGTACTGGTACAGTACCAGTATTACTAGCCCCGCCAGTACTTGTAGTACTCCTGGTGCTGGTAACTAGTACTCGTCCCAGTTCAACGACGACAACTACTAACACAACGATTACGACTACTACTGCTACTACGGTGAATCGGAAAATCTACTCCTACTACAGCAATGTAATGCAACGCAATTCAACATAGTACAACAATACAGTGTGCTAGATTAGAATATTTGTATACAGTCTACATATGTCCGTCTACCTATCTGCGTGTTTGAGGTGCATGGCCTGCCAGATCGCTTCAAGGACCCTAAACCCTAAACCCTAAACCGCATTCGCTTCAAGGATCCCTTTAATCTAAGGAACCAGGAACCCCTAAGTCCCTAAGGATCCCGTCATTTCCCAAGTCCCATGATCCTCCAAGTACTCCCAAAATGCTTTGAGCCAGGCCCGGCGCCCGCAAACCCCAAGCTTCAAATCCTGGTCTGAGACACTTTATGTGTGTATATATATATATATACACTCTACTATTATTATATCTATATATATATATATATACGTGAACATAAGAGGGATCTATAGTAAACAATCCGGTTTCTTTGCTATGGCAGCTTGAAATTTATGTCTTTTTACAAGAACACAGACTTCTGAACCTTCAAGCCCCAAGGTCCGACTATAGAAAATGAGTATTCGCCGTCGTTAGTCCGTAGATTTCCTCTTTATGTCTGTAGCATAACATCTCCCAAAACATATTGAAATTTCGAAGGTCTCTACTAGTTAGGGCTTTGGGACTGTTTATATTTTCTCTTATTGGGCTTAAGAGGATCTTTCCTACTTTAGAAGCCACTCCTAGTCTAGATTGCACCCTTAAGCCTTCAACCACTGAAACCTCAGGCAGGAAACGAGCTTGAGTCCTACGGTTGATGATATAAATCCTGCATTACCCAGAATATGGAATATACCATAATTCCCATAGTTTGGGGTCCTTAAGATAATGCAGCATTTGTATCATCAACAGTACCACTGAAGCCACTGAAGCCTCAGAAAAGAAACCTTGAACCAGGCCCGCATTTTGGTGATGCAGCCGCGGAGGATTGCGGCCACGACCCTGGCGGTGAAAGCCTCAGCATCGTTCAGGATGACTTCCCAGACCCCCGGGAGGATCTAGAAAGTAGATCCCTTGATTTTGGGGCCCTATACTAAGGGTACTTTATAGGAACCCCCATTAAGGGATCTACTGTTTGGATCCTCCCGGTGGTCTGGGTTCATAGGGTTGTAAGGGATTTAATCGATCCTCGCGGACGGGATTTGGTCTATTTAGGTCTCAGAGACCAGGTGTAAGGACAAGCAAGGCCAACAATCACGGGTGCCGGAATGAATATTTTAAACCAACCCTAGATCTTAAACCCTAAACTCTAAGCCGTATATAAACCCTAAACCCTAGGCCTTAAACCCTAAACCCTTGTAGCAGCCCTTCTGGTACCGCTTACAGGAAGCCTCCATCTGAAGTCCTCCAGAGCCGGCCTTACAAGCCTGAACCCCACATCCGTTAAAGGTTTAGGGTTTAGGGTCTAGGGATTCAGGGTTGAGGGTTTAGGGTTTAATGGTTGAGGGTTCAAGGGTTGAGGGTTTAGTGTTTAGGGTTAAGGGTTGAGGGTTTAGGGTGGAGCATTTTGAGGGGTTTATACGGTTGCGAGAGCTTTTCAATTTAAGCACGAAAATCATCTTGTGGGCGGTTTAGGTCTAGGCTTTCGCGTGGAGGGTTTTTGGCCTAGACCTCAGATTTTGTATGACTCAGGTTTTAGGGTTGAAGGCTTCAGTGTCTAAGCTTCTTGCGCCCTCAGCTGTCTAGTCACCTTGAATGTAAGAAGCCCATATGCCATAGTGTGTACATGTCGTTTGGGCTGTAAGGGCAGTACTTGCTATGCATATACATATACACACATACATAGATGTATCGATGTACCTGTATATACATAGACTCAGACAACATACACGCACGTACATAAATGCCACTCTGTCCATACATATACCTCTCTCTCTCTCTCTCTCTCTCTCTCTCTCTTTCTTAGTGTCATTTCTTGCTATCTGTCTGTCCGTCCGTCTGTCTGTCTGTGGATGAGATTATCTGTCTATATGTCTTTCTGTCTATCCCTATATCTACCCCTATCTATTTATCCTTCCATATATCTGCCTATCTAATGCCAAGCTGGGTAGAGAGAGAGAGAGAGAGAGAGAGAGAGAGAGAGAGAGAGAGAGAGAGAGAGAGAGAGAGAGAGAGAGAGAGAGAGAGAGAGAGAGAGAGAGAGAGGGAGAGAGAGAGACAGAGAGAGAGAGAGAGAGAGAGAGAACTCGTATTCATGCTCACTTACATACACACTCTCACACATATGCACATGTAAACTGTCTAGCAAACAGTTAAAATACTACATATGTACACATCCACGTACAGATCACCCATTGTCAACTAAGGTAGACAAGCAGAAAAACGATTATGTAGTGATAATGCATGCATTTGTACGTGTGTCTGTCTGTATGTATGTAAGTATGTATGTATGTACATATGTGTGCATGTATGTATGTATGTACATACATAGCTGCAAATTTATATAAGTATAAATATAAACAACTAAATGTATATGTATATATATATATACACGTGTACACACACACACATATGTATTTAGACACATACGTTTGCATGAATGCCTCCAGCGGGACCTCCAGGAGCGTATCGCCGCCGAGCGCTGCCAGGCCCTAGGCGAGGACGTGGGCTACCAGGCCGGAAGGCGTCAGCTTCTCCTTGTTCTGTATACTTGGTACAAGTATATAATTACATAGGTATGTATATTTTTATGTGTGTATATATATATATATATATATATATTATAATTATATGATGGCTATAGTATACCACATGAACCATTGTGTTTGTGTGTATCTATATATACATTTGTATACGCAAGCGCACCTACTCGTTTGGTTTCCGACTTTATTCTGTTTGTCGCTGTTGTCAGGTTTGTTAAGCACATGTAGCATACATGACGCTAGACATTGATTGTTTAATCTTGTGAGCATCAGGTTGCTGTACATGCAAAAGTAACCATACTTGCAATATCACGTTTCGCAGAGGTAGTTGCGACGGGAACGGCAATGTTATCAACAGAACACAATTGCAGCAGTGGTCATGAGAAAGGTGCAGGCCATTATTCTGACAAGCACGAACATCCATGCGGTATATGTGATTACCCTAAACCCTAAACCCTGTGCGTGTGACTCAATCCCTAAACCCTGAACCGAAAACCTTAAGCCCGACATGGTTGACTTTCGCCTTTCCCAATCCCTCAAGAACTTACTTGGGTCTGAGACGAGGGTGAGAAGAGTTAGTGCCAGTAGCAACAAGATAAGAACAATGGTAATAATTTTGTTGCTAACAGCAATACTGGTCACAGTAGTCAGAGTAGAGTGCTAACAATTGTAGTAGTATAGTATATAATGTTTAACAGTAGTACTAAGAGTTAGTACTGGTACCCCCTTGTAGCCCCGTATAGCTGTAGGGCCAGGGAATTCGGGTCTGGGTAGTCAGAGATGTTATCCATTATCCCTTCCTAGTCTCTCCATTCTGAAATGTGCTGTATTCCAGTGCATGTTACTTCGAAGCGCTATTACAATTCTCAAGGCAGGCTCCTATGCTAAACTCTCATAACAACCCTAAAAAGCCCTTTGGAGGAACCCTTAAAGGAACCGCATTGCTAGTGTTAGTATTTGGTTCTAATTCTTAAGGCCCCAATACATATTCGAGGGTCTCTAGCCCGATGTTTCGAGCACAATCCTGTAGAACCTGAATCCCGTAAATTGGACCTAAGCTTTCTAGAAGAACTCAAAAACTCCATAAACAGAACCTCTCTAGAATGGTATAAACCGCTTCGATTCCATGTAAAGAAACCCCTCGAGCCTAAAACAGAAACCCCTTTGAAGTCCATGTACCAGGTTCGTCAGTAGTACTCTTTTGTCCTTTTTCTTCTTGGGTTCCCTTGTTAAAGCCAAGCAGTAGGACAACGATTATCAAGGGGACACTGACGAACCTAATCCCTAAACCCTAAACCTAAACCCTAAACCCTAATGCGAGATGGGGCTTCAAGCGAGGTGCCCTTCGGTTCCCGGGCAGAGAACGCGCGGCTGGTCTTCTGTACTCTCGGAGTTCCTCGGTGAAGACTCGGTATGGTTCTACAGGGTACCGGGTTTTAGGTTTTAGGGTTTACGGTTGAGGGTTTAGGGTTCACGGTGCAGGGCTTCGAGGTTGGGGTTTAGGGTTGTGTTTCTACTTAACGGATAACGGGACTTAGTAAGTATGGTCATAAGTCATAAGTACCTCACCTGACCTGGGTCTATAAGATTTTATGAAATTGTAAGTACAGCTATCCTAACAATGGCCGTAGTACTAACTCCCATGACTCTTTAAGTAGGATTCCGTGGCACTGGGGCTGCTCCTACATTCCACATCCTTCTGTGTCCGTATCATAAGGACTCGAGCTGGAGGATATGTGAATGGCCACCTTAGAAGACATCAGATCTGGTAGTTTCCAAAAACCGGGGGCACCTTTATATAGTACCCTAAATAGTAGGATCCTTATTAAGAGGACACCAAAATATGGTACCCCTATTTTCGGAAACTCCCATCTAGAGCAACCCCAAGTCAGAGTGCAATTGCACGTCACGCTCCGTGGCTTCAGGGCCCCAACAGGGTGACAAGTTTTCAATGTAACACGGTTTCGCCCCCTGCCTAGACACCAAATCTCGAAAGGTATTGCAAACCTTCATGTTGCTCTCTAAAACCTTTCTCAAACTCGTGAGGATCCTAAACCCAAAACCCGTTCTAATCAACAAAACGTACTTCGCAGCCTCGAGGTCTTTCGCCGCCGGCTCCTCAACGACCCGGATCTTCTCGGTGTGACGCACATCATCTTCGATGAGGTGCGTTTGGCGGGGGAGGTCGGGTTTGGGGCTTTAGGGTTTCTAGGGTGTAGGGTACTGCGTGGTCTTCCTGAAGGAGTTCAAGAAGGGTGTGCAAAGCGGTTCATGATCGGTGTTTGGCGGGGGAGGGATCAAAGTAAGCAGAAAACGGCTTGGGGGCGCAAGGGTTTCAGTGTGAGAGTTTGGGTGTAGGATCGAACCGCCGACAAACACCTACCATCCAACAACGAGGGCTCCAGCGTGAACGATACCTGCCTTCAGCGCCCGCAACGCTATCTGAGGCAGCACCAAAGGCCGAATCTAGCAGGTTTCCCATGCAGCGCACCTATTTGTCGGTCTCGATGTCGACCTGTGACCCCAACCCCTATAGAATAGTAGGTTATGACCCCTAAATGATAGGGTCTAACAGCCAAACCCCTAAAGCAGTAGGTTTTTGGGATCCACAGGGAAGCCTTGTGAAGAATCCCAAGCCCTACGCAAAGTCAAAGCGCCGAAACTGCGGCTTCAAGCCTGGTCGCCAAAGCCCGCACACTAACACTACAGGCCGTTAAACACAAACCCTACCACCCTAAACCCAAGACCCCACCACCCTAAACCCTACCACCCTAAACCCTGCACCCTAAACGCTACCACCCTAAACCCGACACCCTAAACCCTAAACCCTCGCAGGTTCACGAGAGGGATAAGCTCGCCGACTTCAACATGATCCCTGGCAGCAACAAAGGAGTTTCCGGAACTAGGGGAGCCTAATATACTTGGAGGGGCAGGGGACTTAGTAAGTAGGGTTATAAGTAGGGTTATAATTGGGGTGACTCCATGTAGGGTAACTACGACTCTACTTATAACCTACTTACTAAGTCCCCTGCCCCTCCGATCAATATACTACCCTAAATAGTAGGATCCTTCCCCATGTTTCATGTTTGAGAACATCCAGAAGACTTCAGCAGGTCATTGATCACTCCCTTGTCAGACTTGAGGTGAGATGGTTAAAAGGTTTTATAATGTTTTGCAGGGGTATTGGGCTACTACTACTACTACTACTACTACTACTACTACTACTACTACTACTACTACTACTACTACTACTACTACTACTACTCCTCCCATTGTTTCTGGTCTTAAACCCTACCCTAAACCCTAAGTGCCATGGACAGAGGTTCCTTGGTTCCAACCTTTGCTCCCTCGATCCCCGTGGGTTCGGATCCTAAAGCTCACGAGAGGGAATCTATACCGGCAGCAGTTTCATAAGCTACCGTAGCCGTAGTACTCACAGTTTCATAAGCTATATACCGTAGCCGTAGTAATTGCTCCTGACTGCAATGCGAAGCCCGATCAAGCGATCAGAAGCCTGCTAGTAATGCCAGATAGAACTACAAGACTCCAGCCCATTCCACCCAAACCCTTCAACCTTAGATGCGCCCTCAGCAGTCAACAAAGCCCTACACCCTAAAAGCCCAAACCCTACTCCAACGACCTCGTTAAGTTTTGATCCCTAAACTTGCACATCTTATTGAGGGGCTATCCGAGGTGCGGCAAAAAGCCACCCTATAAAACCTCATAGCACCCTTACGGAAGCCCAAAAACCTAGCTGGAACCATATGATCTCATGCTAGCCTTTCTGTACTTGGAGGATCATGGGATGTAACAACAAGGGTTTCTTCAGGCAACTATACTTATAACCATACTTACTAAGTCCCATGACCCTCCAAGTAGCGCTTGAAGTTCAAGATCCCTGCCCTAAACCCTAGACCCTAAACCAAAAACCCTAGACCCAAAACCCTAAACCTTAGACCCTAAACCCTAAACCCACAACCCACAAAGGATCTTCGTGCGAGACCTCCTGGCAAGGCGCTCCGACTTACGGCTCAGAGCTCAGAGCTTTGTAGTACAGTGGCCGGTAGGGTTCCTAGGGTTCCTTCAAAGGCGTTCTGCAATGGTTGCTATAAAGGATCTAGAAGGGTACTATAATATAGGGGCCTAAATAATTGCTAAAAGGATTGTGGGGGGTTCTTTATCATAGCCATAGTATACTGCGGCCCAAAACCCTATTCTAATTATTAAGGCCCCTTTATTGCCTGTTGCTGCCTTGCCTTTGATGGATTAGGGCCTTTTGCTAATCTCGAGCCCTTGTTCTTGCGCCCTTCGTTGCCAGAGCTCTTGGCCTCAAGCCCTCAACACTTCCCTCAACCCTGAGCCCTCAACCCCAGCACCCTAAATCCTGAGGGTGAAAGGCCGCAAGCCCCAAAAACCTCAATCCCTAAACCCACAACTCACATCCTACACTCAAGACCCAATAGGATAGTATAGAATAGACTATAGTGAAAAGGAGACGTCAAAGTATTTTACAACATCAGTTTTTGCGATTTCGGTGGGGTATGGTGGAGTTTCGGCTAGTAGGCAGGGTTTGCGGTTGGAGGTTCTAGTCCAGACAGAAATCCAAACCCTAAAGACTATAGCTTGGGTTTCAACCGCCGGACCTTGCCCTAAACCCTAAACCCTAACGTGCTTGCAGATATGCTTCGTTTCCGGGGGCTTGCAGTTATTAGGGGCATCTTACTTTGGGGTCCTTATAATCAGGATCCTACTACTTGGGGTACTAGACTAGGGCCCCCTATTTCAGGAAACTCCCAAATGGGTGGTTATCAAAATTATGGTCCCTTTTTGGGGCCTGGCTAAAGGAACGGCAGCTGATATTGAGGGTAAAGGATCCCTTAAGCTGCTATGGATCCCTTAAAGGAGCCCTTCAAGGATCCCCTAGACCCCTATTGATCCCGTACCCAAAAAGGGGCCAGAATTTTGACAACTACCCATACTTGAAGGATCATGGGACTTAGTAACTAGGGTTATTATTATGGTAGCTATACTTATACTTACTTATAACCCCCAATTAAGGTACTTATAATCATACTTACTAAGTCTCATGGTCCTCCGAGTATGGGTAGTTCTCTTCGTCCCTCTGAGGGTCCTTTTGTTAAAAAGGGTACCGTACTATTTTGGGGGGACCTGAGAAGGGGACCTTTTAGAGAACTACCCTTACAGTACCTGTAGAAACCTTGATCGGTCCCTGTGAGGAACTCTTAAAGGGATCCCTAATTAAGAGAGCTATGATCGATCTCAGTTAGAGAACTGCCCACATTGCTTAATGACAGGACCAGCTGCTCCCTGCAACCACAACATGCCTACAGAAACGGGGGTTTCCGATAATAGGGCACCCTAATACAGTACCCTAAATAGTAGGATCCTTATTATAAGGACCCCAAAATAAGGTGCTCCGCTATTTTCGGAAACTCCGAAACATTTCCACGCACTGCACTGCAAACCCGGAACTCAACTCCGAAAGAAAGCCTCTAGAACCCTTCCTCTAGGGAACCCCAGAAAGTTGGAACATGGATTTAGGATGACTAGTGCTAGGATTCCCCATACTTTACCTTAGGGGCATGAGGATAATGATGTTCCAACTTTGTGGCTTCTACTGTAGATCCTGGGCCCCGAAACCATCCAAGACCTTAACCATAATTCCTGAATCTTGAAACCGTCGTGCAAGCAGTGACCGGCGCCGAGGCTGATGCTAATGAGTGCTGGGCGCTCAGACATGGCATGACGAGAGCTAAGGTTTAGGGTTCGCGAGAGTTGGGGCTTTTGGCGTTGAGGAGCTAAGAGTTTGGGCGCAAGTGTGCGTCTCCATGGTTTAAGTGGGTGCTTCAGAGAATTAGGGTATCCCCGAACTTTCGGAAACTCCCAAGTGTTTCGGGTGTCACCTGGGCTTTTGGGCGTCTAAAGGCCTTGCTTTTGCGGTTTGGGATTCTGGTTCCTGGTGGTTCCCTAAACCCTAAACCCTAAACCCTAAACCCCTAAACCCTAAACCCCTAAACCCTAAACCCTAAACTCTAAACCCTAAACCCTAAACTCTAAACCCCTAAACCCTAAACCCCTAAACCTCAACCCTAAGGGCCAGGGCGTTAAACCGAACACTGCACAGCTTCGATACTGGGCTCTTGTTAAAAGAAGTGTACCTTGACCTGCCGAAACCAGTAATTTTGTAGGGTCCCTATAAATTCCATATGAGGGTTTAAAATAAGAACCCGCAAAAACCCAGGGTCTAGTAGGTTACGGTAGTTTAAGTTGCCATAATAAGGAAACCTGTTTATTTACTACAGATCCCTGCCATGGCAACTTAAATTAAGTTCCTTAGCAAGAACCCGCTATCGAGATCTCGGTTCCTAGACAAATGTCCTGTA